CAGTGAAACTGCTGATAGCTTGTCTCTGCAAACAGAGTTCCTCTAATTGGTTTGTTCAGCATCAGCTGACATCAGTTACATAAGGCTCATGACTGGAGGAAGTCTGTTTGCAGAGACAGTATGGGCAGTTTCATTCGTGATTGGAGGCTCGTGATTGGAGGAAGCCTGTTTGCAGAGTCAAGCTATTTCACTCGTGATTGGAGGCTCGTGATTGGAGGAAGCCTGTTTGCAGAGTCAAGCTATTTCACTCGTGATTGGAGGCTCGTGATTGGAGGAAGCCTGTTTGCAGAGTCAAGCTATTTCACTCGTGATTGGAGGCTCGTGATTGGAGGAAGCCTGTTTGCAGAGTCAAGCTATTTCACTCGTGATTGGAGGCTCGTGATTGGAGGAAGCCTGTTTGCAGAGTCAAGCTATTTCACTCGTGATTGGAGGCTCGTGATTGGAGGAAGCCTGTTTGCAGAGTCAAGCTATTTCACTCGTGATTGGAGGCTCGTGATTGGAGGAAGCCTGTTTGCAGAGACAAAGTATGGGCAGTTTTGCAACCGCGCCGTTCTCTCCTTGGCTTACTTCCTTGAATAAGAAGCCCTTCAATTTTTAGCGTAAGGATTTTAGAAAAAAGTATCGTCTTATAGTCGGAAAAATACGGTATTTCAGAGGATGCATGACAAAAATGTAGAAATGTAATATGCTTTCCTTATAAAGGAGTTTATTTTAAACTAGTGTATCCTACACTTTTCTAGACACCATTACTGTTCTATTTTATGATAATATATTAAATGATTTAACGTGGTTTCCTGCAGCCCCAGAGGCGGCATAAACTATGCTAGCCTAAATTTGCAATGTCTTACATTGCTGGTTTCTACTCCACCTCAGTAATGAGGTCAATGTGTGGAACTACCCAAACAGTTTGCTGCAGGACAAGCTACGATGTAGCAAAGATGGACAGGTTTTTCTCTGCTGGCAGGAGAAGCATCCATCAATTGCCTTTCCTGGCCTGGGCTGGGCTGGGGCTGGAGGAGGAGTGAGTTTAGTTAGATGGTTTAGTTAGAGTGGTGGGTTTAACCATCTATTAGAACATTAAAGTTCACTTTAGAAAAGTCCCAATCTACCAAATTCTCTAGCCATCTTCATGTTGCTATTGTTAGTACAAACAGACCAGGAACCAGAAATATACTAATATTCAGTCTGTTTCAAAAGTAAAATCAAATCAGTTTCCTGCTTACCTTCACTATGGCTGATACAGAATGTATTTTCTTTTTATCATTCAATATAGTGTCAGTCAGATCAGCTATCGACAGACCTACAGACCAAGACCTTTGGCCTTTTCCTTTCAGAATTTCCATGGCTCTAAATAAAAGAAACATATCTAGGACTTAAAATAGATTTTTCTAGAAAGCAGTATATTCTTTTTAACATCCACATATTTTCACCAGAGTTGTTGTTATGCTGAAGTACAAATGTTTTATAGTTAAATAATATAGACTGTGCTACTCAGTTATAGGTGAACATTTAGATTTGGGCTAAAATCCTATACCCAATTATATAGAAGTCCCATTAAACTAAGTGAGATTTACTTCTAAATAGATATAAACAAGATAGAGGTATAGATGTTTTTACCTGTTACTCAACATCTGTTGTTCATTATGATTTGTTAACTTATCACCTGGATGAATTATCGCTGAATTAAAAGAACTCCATGCTGCCACTGTATAAGACAATTGCAATTAATTTTCTTTTCAAACATTTGGATAGTTGGCATAAGGTGACTTTGTTTTCAGTGTATGTGCTTTTAAAAAGAGATTTATGTTAATGTTTGTAAGCCTCTAATCATAAATGTTTGATTTTAAAATTGTGATCTGCTCCTTGCAATAAAATTTAGTTATTTCTGCTTCTGATTGCATTGTATATAACCTCTCTTTTGCTAATGGAACACAGCATTAATGAAAATACAGAACACATCCTCTGAAGCTAGCCCAATAACCAGCACTTGCAAAAATATTGTACATGAGGTCATACTGATTTCGAAACACAACAATCCAAACACACTGCAAGGAATACAAATTAGTACTACTATGTATGTAACTCCTGGAAAATATGTCATGCTGATAGAGGTACGATATTCCCTCTAATTTCTTCCTTATTAGCTATTAATTAAAGCAGAGATGGGCAAATGTTTTACAGCTAGGCCTTGCTTACCAACTACCTCGTGCAGTGACCATTTGAAGTTACGATGGTGATGAAAAAATAACTTTGTAACCAAGGCACACATTTACGACCTTGGCAGTGTCTCCCAGTCATATGATTGCCATTACAGTCAATACATGTTGTCCTGTGCCTGACCCGTTCTTTATCCTTTTTTTCCCCTCCCAGAGGGGAGAGATTAGAGAGGAAGGGATCTTCCTCTCCAATGAAGGTAAATACGAACATTAATTCCCTTCTTGCTAATTATCTCAGTGCCGGGTGAGCATTCCAAAGGGGGAGAGGAAGGGAGCAAAAGGAAAGCACAGTTGTGGTCATGTGATCTTCTACTTAGTGACCACTTTGTTAATGACCAAGTTGCCAGTTCCAATCATGGTTGCTAAACAAGGACTACCTATGGTTAGAACCTCACATTTTCCATTTTTAAAATTGTACCTTCAGCATAAATTTCAATGTTTTCTCAAACAAATATATAAGTGCCCATTTATGTTCTAATTCAAAGTTCAGAGAAAATCTAAAATGTAGATTCCTAAATCACACAGCAATTCACAATTTTACCTTTGTTTCCTCCTTGTTCACCAATAATCCAATTGTCTTTATTTCTGGTTTGGGCTTTCAACAGATTTGTAATAACATACTGGAATCTTGCTGAATCCAAATTACAACCAATTCCAATAACTCTGTTTTTAGGAAATCCACTCATCTTCCACGACACATAGGTCATTATTTCTACTGTACTTGTGATAAAAAAAATATCAAGGAAATGGAAAATTATATTCTTAATTCAATATAAAATAATGATTTAAAATTAAGTAAAGACCATGAAAATGTTCATCTGTCCTTCAGTAGGTACAAGATATCAGTCATTCTTTTCAACAGCATAAAGCATCTTGTAAATGTGACTGATCTTTTGTATTTAGATTCCATTTTTAAGCTGAAGAAAAGCTATACTGCTGTTTGGGCAACTGATTGCAATTAGGCAGAACAGTGGAATGGTCTACAATACAGCAGACACATCTATTCATTTATAAGATTGCTGATGAATCAAAGGTTTTACTGTTTCTCTGTGAACAGCAGCAGGGACATAATAAATGGTCAGGATTTCTTGCATAATAAGAAGCTTTAATCACATTCAAGATTAGATTGTGCTGGAGAAAATATATGAAAAGACTTAGTTTAGTATTATTGGATACTGGACTTTGGATAACACAAACTATTGAGGTTTCTCATATCTTCACCCATCCTCATTTAAAGCACAGCAGGCCTCTTTGGAGACCTCTGAGGACTAATCAGTCCATATGTCAACTACTGGATGTATCTCATATAATTTGGTAAATAACAATTATACAGTTTGTCCATTGCTTTTGTTATGCTTTGGGGAAGTCATTTTTAATCATGTTCCTCTACAGAAACAAGCAGAAAAAGGCAATGGTGAACCACTTCCAAAATCATGTCAAGGAACCTGCAGGAACATATGCGGGCAGTCACCAGGAGACAACACTGATTTGAAGGTGTGCACACATACACCGAAGCAAGCACTACAATATATACTTAGGAGAGCCAGCAGCATCCGCAGGGAATCAAAAAGTCAGTATGTTTGGTCGCAACTATGCAACTGAAGCCCTGCCCCTTTTGTAGGTACACCAACACTGTACACATGTACAAAGGGAATGGTTGCAACTGCCATTTTGATTTTTTGATGCTCCCTCCCATGGATGCCCTGGGTAGAGCTCATGGCAACTGGGCAATTGTTAGGTTCCCAAATAGCAAGATAATATAGCTTTAATCCTATAGGACTGGGTTTTAAATTTTTCCTTCCAGAATTTACATAATTTATGTAAATAAATTCTTATGGATGCCAAAGTTCCCTTCAGCATAAAAAACTTGTCCTTCCTTGTTCTGCTGATGCTTTCCTTCAAATCAGAGATAGAATGGGTGCCACCCACTGATTTCAGTGAGACCTCCCAATAAATTAGGTAGGGCTGATTCTTGAGTAATAGAACGTATTAGGGTTAGGATATTAACAAGAGTATTGTTAAGATGCCTATTAGTTATCTGCAAGGACTCCTGGAATAAAAAGTTGTGAAATCATATTCACAAATCAATGGCTAAGTGTCTTAAAGAATATTAATTCTATTTCTTAATATGAGGTGAACTGAACCAAAAAAAATGTTCCATCTTTACAGTACTAAATACCCAGAGAATGTTTGAAAAGGGTTGGCTGTCAATTTCACTATGCTGGAAGTATAAAATAATGAAGAGACATTTACTGATATGATATGGGCTTATCCCATTATTGCTCCATGTTGGCTTAATATCCTTAAGTTTGTTAATAATATTACAAAGATCAGTATGGTTTAAATATGTGAATGTACTCTTGAACTGAATGTACCAAAACCTGAAACTCATCACTATAAGTGATACAGATTTACGAATTTATCGAGCATTGTTTGGGGATAAACAACGGAGTTTAATCAGGCAGCAAATCAAATAACCTTTATACAACCTTTGGAATCAGGAAGAAACGTATTGAGGTTTTTAATTTGCCTAAAGGGAAATTCCAAACACCATTATGTAGAGCAAAAGAAGACAACAAGTAGATTTAAAAAAATTTTTGACCTAATACTCCACACTACTGTTTTGTGTTCGAGGATTATGACAAAATAACTTACCTTCTAATCCTCATTAAGAAGGTGTCAAAAAAAAATTAAGAGAATATCAACTGCAAATCATACCTTGGGATCAAAAACTCATAACATTATATTAACCATTGCCATACAGTACCTGGTTGAGAGGCAACAAGCAGTACACTGTGTTGACTGTAATGAGCTATTGGTGGAAGAATGCCTCTGAACAATTCCACGTTGCTCTGCACAACATCCAGATAAGACTGAGCATTGCCTAAAGAATTAACTGTAAGCACCACCAATTTTGAGTCCGCTGAGGCAGAAAAATCTAAAAAAATATAAAGAAGGAATTGCAACCCATTGCTGAATATAAGTCTGGTTTTTAATGACTTTTTAAAGTAAATCTATGATAATACATGGACCATTTTCCTGACTGAGAGGGATGGGCAAACATATCATTTCCAACCACTTACCAACATATATAGTTAACAGAGGAATTATTACTAATAGTACGAAATTAAACTAATGGCAAAAAACTAGAGAACTGAGTCCATGATCTACTATCTTTGCAAGAAATTTCTGCTTGCCCTCCTTTTTTTCTTTCCCTTGACTCATAGAGCAGAGTTTTGAATCAGGTAGTGGCCACCAATGAGGACGGGAACTCTACTCCTCTAAAGTCTATATTGCTACATATACTGAACACAATCTATGTGTATTAAATTACTTAAAATAAAATCTCATGGGTTATGACATAAGCACACAATGTCTCTTCACACGTGCTACGTTCTGCCCATGTTTTGGAATACAGGTAGAAATTCTCAGGAAGAATGTAATATACATTAATATTGTATATATGCAAATAACTGAATATGTTCTATCTGTATTTGCTTAGCTTTGGGATGAGTACATTAACCATTTACATATATGCAGGATCCTCCACAGGGTACAATCTATGTCCAAGACTGAAGCACTGAAGTGAAAGAGGCTTCCAAATAGGAATTTTGCACCCTGCAGAGTAGCCCGGGTGAATACTTCAGCTTGCAATATTGCTAGAAGACACTATATAACGCTACCTCGACTAATTTCCACCTTTGGCAAGCCAAAGATTTCCAGGTCCATTGTTCCTCCTTTCACTGTAGCTTCTGAGCAGTCCAAGACAACGACTTTGTCAGCAACATCCTAAATTGATTCAAAAGAAAGAAAAATGTTTTTCATCAAAGTGAATATGGGTTGTATTCTGAAAAGAATTCTGTGGGATTCAAGCCAGCAAGAATAATTACTAGACTACCAAAAGGTAAGCAGCTACTTTATAAAATATCAAATTCTAATTATTAAACTAAAAAGAAAGTAACAGTGAAATACTAATAACATCTAATCAAAAATTCCACTGAGGAAGTCAGTAGGACTTATTCTGAGATTAGACAAAAAAAATCTGCAGTAAAAACACCTTTTAAGCATTGGCAACAAAACCATGCATTTAAAAATCAGATCAAGAACAATTTTTCTTGATTATTCATCAATGCATCTTATTGTTTTAAATGTCATTTATTTGAATATAAATTACTGACAGTATCATTAAACTATCAGCTTTTTCCCTTTGTAGAAACCATTTGTCTGCATGAGATTAAAACAGACCAGGCATAATTCAACATACACTTATTTGTCTGAATCATGTTTAGTATTTAGAATTCTTATTTTTTACTGTTAGAAAACATAATTGCACTGGAGGCAACAGCATTTTCAGACAACAGTAAGTTTAGAGAAGATCAGTTAGTTTCCAGTACTAACTTACTAAAAATTATTTGAAATTCCTTAAATCAAATATTTCACCCCCTCCTGTACATGTCATTGAGATGTCAGATAAAAGCCAAATAAAATCAAGTATCCTGTTTTGGAGGGCATATAACCAATCAAACATCAATACATTTCTACTTACTATAATATTGATTCCTTGCAATAATCCTTCCTATCTTGATCATGCAAGAATTGCAACATATTAATCATGCATTCATACTATAGAAATGTTAAGAGTTTTCCTCCTGAGACCAGTAAGGCATATCACAGTCTGTTTTTAAAATCCCTCCATTTTTAAACAGTTTTCCATGTGGTACTAAGAATAATTTTTTTAAAGAACTTAAAGTGAAAAACTCTCTTGAACTAATGAAACTATCATGGACCTTTGGAACCAAACCAATCTATTTAATAGCTCTCAAGTCTTCTACCACATATAAAATGCCTTAGATACTATCTCTATGTTAAACAAGCAAATCTCAAAATGAATGATACTTTGAAGATAAGAGGGTTGAATGAAAGGTAATGTCTCCACTTCCATAACTTTAGTTTAAATAGTGATATTTTAATATAAGAAACATAAAAATAATCCTTGAAATTATCTCTTTTGTTACCTGTACCTACTCTTCCACATCACCACCATTCACTACACACTTCTGGACAAGCTTCTTAAAGTTGTTACAGAAGACCTTTCTCTGTTCAACCAGATCCTGACAGTCCTTTCCATCTCTTCATTTGAATCAAACAGATGTCCACAAAGCCATTTCTTCAATTTTGGGAAAAGGGGAAGTTGCATGGCACCAAGTCTGGACTGTATGTTGGATGATGTAAGAAAGAAATCTAATTTTGCAATTGCCTCTTTGGTGGCTTGTGAGGTGTGAGGCCTAGAGTTGTCAAGTTGTCAATCTCCTTCTTGAGCTTTTGAACTCTGCTTAATTGTTGTTTCAAAGTTTTGAGTGTTACAATGATGATAGTGGTGCCAGGTTCAAGGAAATCCATGTGAATAATACCATCTGTGTCCCAAAAAACCTGTAATTGTGAATTTTCATACCAAAATTTGGGTTTTGAATGTTTTTTCCCCGCAAGTGAATCTTTGTGATGATATTCCATGGACTGACACTTTGCTGTGAAGAAATTCCTCACAAGAAATTGTGTTTAGCTATGGAGATTCTCATCACTAAACACAATTGCTGGCAAATTTCAACACTTGAAGCTTTCATCTCTGCTATCAGTATGCAAGGGTTATATATTGCACAAACTTTCTTATATTGAAAAACCTCAATAATGTGACCCACACATTCCTGTGAAATGCCAAGTTTGACAGCAATTTCCTTTTGCGAGATCCTCTGTCCTTAATCCGTTCATCAATCTTTCTCATATGAAACTCATTGATTACCGATCACACAAATCAGCTCTTCCTATTCACCATTTTTACATTTTGTGGCCCAGACGTATACAGTACTCATGTCAACACAGTCATTGCTATGAACAACTTGCATTCAACAGTAAATTTAAACTGGAGGGATTCCTCTGGTAATCAAACATTAAATTATGGCACATTGTTTAAAGCACACTAACACTCATTGCAGGCTTCCATTTCATGAACAATAGCAACACAACCTTTTCTCACAGCAACATCCCACCAACTGAAGTGAAACAGATGCTAAAGAACACATCAGAACTTCTAGCATATCAGAACTGCCATCTGTTGGTGACTTATAACATTGGAGGTATTACTTTCCATTCAACCCTTGTATTTAATGCAACAATTCTTCTTAGAAAAAAATTATCCTGTGGAAAAAATTGTTTTCTGAATAAACATACATAGGAATGCACTGTTAATTGCTAATAAATTAATTACCTCCAATCATTAGAACACTTTTAGGGTGAATATATTCTGTGTATGTGATCCTAAATATTCCTCCCCCATTGTTTTGTTTCAATACAAATTTATTACCGAAGCAAGCATAACAGTAACTCTGTATGAAATCCATACCTTTGCTGAAATAGCCAGTATACAAGCAAGGCCCAGATCTCCAGCCCCAACTATTGTAACTTTGCGTAATCCTCCATCATTTTTCTTTTCTTCTCCCTTTGATTGTCCATTGTTTTCACCTAAAAATCATATGCTATTTATATAAACAAATATGCATAGCTGTAAATGCTGATGCTCAATGAAAATAATTTTTAAAAATGCCTTGATCTGTTTAACTGTAAGTATGGTACTTTGAAAAATAAAAAATGTTATTCAACCCAATCCTATGCATGCATGTTTACTTAAAAGTAAGCTTGCTGTGTTCTATTTGTCTTACTCCCAAATAAACATGGAAAGGATTGCAACCTGATTTTTTTCTTTTTAGGTGAAAAGAGAAATACAGTGGTACCTCGGGTTACGAACGCCTCTGTTAACGAACTTTTCGGGTTACGACCAGCACCGGCCGCA